GAGAGAGAGAGAGAGAGCATTTTGGATCATCTCATTGTCTGGTGCTTGTGGGTCCACTCCCTCTCCTTTGTGGATCATTTTTTTGAACAGTGCTGACACGGTTCATTATGCTTTTTCATACTCCTTTGGATCCATGTTTCAGGTACATCCAGTTGTTATTTGATTGGATTTTGATACATAGCTTGAAGTATGCTATGCCTATCATGTATTATGGAAAATCATGGTCCTTTGGAATCTTCATATACATAATTCATGATTGGAATCCATGGTCCTTTGGGATATTCATATATACATGAGAGAGAGAGAGAGAGAGAGACCATTTTGGATCATCTCATTGTCTGGTACTTGTGGGTCCACTCCCCCCTCTCCATCATCGTGCATCATTTCGTTGAACAGTGCTAACGGCATTGATTATACCTTTTCATACTCCTTTCGTTCTATGCTTTCTTCCTCTGTGTGCATGCGAGAGAGAGAGAGAGAGAGACCATTTTGGGTCATCTCATTTTCTGGTGGCGGTGGCCTGGTGGGTCCACTCCCTCTCCACTGTGGATCATTTTTTTGAACAGTGCTGACACTGTTCATTATGCTTTTTCATACTCCTTTGGATCCATGGTTTCTTTCTGTTATGTTACACTTCTGTCGGATTTCCTTATGAATTGATTTTATGTTTCTTTAGCTTTTCATTTTCCAAGAAGCAAAAGTAAAATCTCACTTAGCTAAGGACCCTTTGGTTTTTTCAACTTAAATTTTAAGATGTCTTTCAGAACTTTTCAAACCGTCTGGACAAAATGAAAATAAGACGCCTCTAACCCGTTATCTTAACTGAGAACGCAGAGTAGGAATGTGGATGGGAGCACCCCTTGAAATGATGTCAATGCCTTTTTGAGTTGCACGATGTTTAAATGGCCAACCGCATATCATTGAAGAGTGCTAAATTCCTTTTGATAATGTTTCTGTCCTTTTTTTTTTTCCCTCCCCCAAATTCATGTTGCTTTCAATCTCTGTAAGGATCGGAATGCATTTGACTGTTGTGTGGCTTTAAAAGGCAAGGTCATGCCATTTGAGGGTATTCTCATTTGGTGGTTTGATTCTTTGTTTTATTTGAATTTCTATTCCAGTTGCTTTCCGTTGTTTCAGCAAAGAAAGCAGGGACTTCTATTTTATAATTTTTCTCTTTCTTGATTCAAATGCTTGAACTGCTTTAACATTTAGAGTCTCTTTCTTAAGTGCCCTACATTCAAGTCACTCCCCTATGCTCAGCCCAAAGAACTCAAGAGAGATGCTGAAGCCGTCTACCCAACTGCCCAACAACCAAAGTCTCTCAACATCACCAAAGCGAGGACCCTTTACCACACTTGAGCACCCGCCAAACTTACAGATTCCCCACTATGGTGCATTTGCAAGTGCTCCTGACAGTTCATTATCAAGCCCATCTAGAAGTCCAATGAGAGTGTTTGGCTCTGAACAGCATCCAAATCGTGGGTTTTGGGCAACAAAACCTTACCCAGATGCAGGTCCTTTTGGATCGGGTCATTGCTCGAGCCCTGGTTCTGGTCAAAATTCAGGGCATAATTCAATGGGAGGAGATATATCAGGGCAATTATTTTGTCAGCACAGTAGGGGTAGTCCAGAGTGTTCACCGATACCAAGCCCTAGGATGACTAGCCCTGGTCCAAGCTCAAGGGTACACAGTGGTGCTGTCACCCCTCTCCATCCACGAGCTGGAGGTGCAGGGCCTGAATCACCAAGCAGTTGGCCTGAAGAGGGAAAACACCAATGCCATCGTTTACCTTTGCCCCCTTTGACAATATCAACTCCTTCTCCTTTTTCCCCATCAAGCTCGATGGCTGCTGGTTCATCTCCGCTTCCACGAAGCCCTGGAAAAGCTGAGAATCCTCCGAGTCCTGGTTCAAGGTGGAAGAAAGGGAAGTTGCTTGGAAGGGGCACATTCGGGCATGTTTATCTTGGTTTCAACAAGTAAGCATCTCAACTGTGTTATATTATTGTAGGAAGCTCTTACCTCTATTTGATCTAAGGAAAGGTATACTATATTCCAGTGTACAATGGATAACCGTCACACTTTAGGGGTTATGATCTTTTCTGGTTGTCCTACTCTCTTTCCATGTTTCATTGGTTGGTGATAACCTGGGGGGCCATGGCTTTCCATAGTCATTTGCTTATAGTTATCTTGATCTTACTTCGAGTTTATCAGATATTGGTTATTGTGAAATGTTAAACTGTGAATGCATAAATGACCCCTGCGGTTTTTATTAACCTTGTTACCTTTGGTCTTTTACTCAAAACTTTAGGTTATATGATATTTTTCAAAAGATGTTCTTTTACTTCTGTAATCTGTGATGAAGCAGTTGGAGTGGTACACCTTTCTGATTGGCATGCGCTTCTTTTACATTGGTGATTCATTGAAATTAGAAATAAACAACAAAACATTGACACTTGGTTTCTTACTTTGTGTAAACCTTTTTTTCTTTTTTGCTAGTTTAATATTTTCGTAAGCATGTACTCATGAAACATTTATGGATGCTCTTTCTTTTGTGCGTGGTGCTGGCCTTACCTTAGTTTTTGATTTGCAGTGAGAGTGGTGAAATGTGTGCAATGAAAGAAGTCACGCTATTCTCAGATGATTCAAAGTCAAAGGAAAGTGTTAAACAGCTAGCACAGGTGGCTCCTTGAATCATTGTCTATCTTCTTTTGAAGCTAGTTATATGGGTTTTCAGTTCTCGAAAATTTCAGTGTAATTATTATTTTCATTGCCTTATATGGATATGATTTCTTTATTCATTTTTTTCTTTGTTTGACTTGTACCAATACTCGCAGGAAATTGCTCTTCTCAGTCGCTTGCGGCATCAGAACATAGTGCAATATTTTGGTTCTGAAACAGTATGCCTTCTTGCTTTTTCTATGATCTATGATAATCCCCTTTATATAATTGCAGATCTTTTGCAATGTAGTGCATTTATTGATTCTCCAAACACGCATGATCATCTTTTGTCTTTCTTGTTACTTCTTATTTATCATTTTACTTTGTTGATGGATGGCATGGAATTTGAGAGTGTTTAAGATATTTATTTTATTGTACACAACTGTACACTAGAAGTCCAGTTTTCATGGTTTGATTATTGCACCTTATAGTCTATAGATTCTAGAACTGAGATGCTTTATAAATCTCAATGTAGGAATTTTGAATTTACAGTTCATCTTTAGATCAATATTCATGAAAAAGAACAAATGAGTGAGACACTGACACATACTCCCAGAGTAGATAGTATTTCGTGATTATGATGTTCTTGTATCCAGTGTTACATTCATGCCGCTGCCTAGTTAGTTTATTAATATATTCAAAATGATCTCTCTTGAATATTTGAGCTGGGACATGATAACTGATGAGTTAATTATGAATGCCAAGTTGGTAGCATACAAAATGACAGATTAGTTTTGACTTAATTTTCTCATGTTTATTTAAGGATGTATTTGTTCATAATACATTGATCCCTAGGTTTGTTCAAAATCTCATCTGAATGATGTTTGAAGGGTCCAGGCCCCTTGTGGGGGTTTAGCTTTTGGATGGTTTGCATGCGTAGTATTTTGATGATTGACTGCCTTAAGGTATGCAGATTGCTAATTTATGACAAGCTGAGGGAACGGCAAGCCACCTCCTTATTCATTGTAGCTGTGCTATGGCCACACGTGCCTATGTTATTACCCTCTTTGGCACGCAATGGATGACCCCAACTTCTGTGGAGGACCTAATGGTGTGGTGTCTCTGTGGCAATCCTGCCTAGGGGCGGGGAGTTCTGGCGATTTGAGTGTTTTATCCACTATGTGGTGTATTTGGAAAGAGTGAAATGGTTGTATTTTCAGAGGTCAAAGGGTGCACAAGTTGTTCCTCAAGGAGGGGACTAGGAATATGGTGATAGCCTGGGCTTTGCTTTGACAGTTTGACCTGAATTCCAAGGTTTCAGGGCCATTGACCTGGTTGATGGTCAGAAGATTTGGCCTTGTCAGGTCCATCATTGTCAACCCAGGACAGTTTGGGTTGCTCTGAGGAAGTGCATTATCAAGCTAACGTTTGATGGTTGTTTACGGGGCAATTTGGGAACTAGTAGGATATTTAGGAAACTTCAGAGCAATGAGAGCCCATTGGGTATATGTGATTCTAGACTTTTCCAAATAGGGGATCAATTAGTAGTGGAGGGGTGGTTGTTTGAATGTCGTAAGATGGTCACATGGTGTCCTCTATTTTGTGGATGATAGCTATAATATTTGGTGAGATCTTTGACATTTGTGACACTAATGTTCCAAACAATGCTGGACGGCACGTAGGCGGCTGCCTAAATTTTTGGGCGGCCCAAGATTTTTTTTTCTTCAAGTTGTCCAAAATTTCTAAGAGAAATGTGGTTTTTTTTTGTAGTTTTTTTCACTCTAAAAACGTCACAAAAGGGGTTTAGGTCACATGTGAACCTAAAACCCCCCCCCTCCCTATTGGAGGGACAAAGATGAAAATACCCCTCCACAAGGGGCATTTTCGCCCCTGGGCAGGTGCAGTCCCTGGGCATCCCCAAGGGCTAGGTGGGGACCCAGCGCCCAGAAGGGCTTCATCGCCCTGGCCCGCCTAGGTGAGCCATTTTTTGAAACAATGTGACACTAAGAATTTAACCTTTGTGTACATTCTTAGGGAGCTGACCAGGAGACTGATTCCGTCATTTATTAAAGGTCCTTCAAGAGGCACTTTATGTTGACACCTCGCTGTTGGAATCTTGAGATGTCTTGAAATAGCTTGACCTTTGTTTTATATTTTTGAGTTCCTATGCGATTTTATTTTGGTAATAAAAATTTTCATTGATGATAAAAAAGAATGTGGAGCACTAGGAAGAATATTTATTTACAAAGATTTTATGGGAACTATAGCAATTAACACTTTTGCAAACTTCTTATTTGTGAAAAGTTTTATCCCATGATGAATGATTTAGTTCCATTAATTTGCTCCTCAGGCATAGCCACTTCAGAGCAACTAGTCAGCAATTTTACCCATTGACTGTTGCGGTCCAAGGGATGTTATGTTGAATGTTTATAACATCAGAAATAATCCATCAGTAGAGTATGCCTTGACTTTCACATGTTTCATAGTAATATGAATATTCACAATTTCTTGGGACGGGTCTTATTTTTTTTTCTTTTCCAAATTACAAACTAGTCATAAATTTAGTTATCTTTATAATGTCATAACATAATCATATTATTTTTCTCCTTGTTTTTTTTTTTGGGGGCAAGTTGGTAGCAACTAGCAAGTACTACTTTTGAAATGGTTGAATCACAAATATATCGACATAACATGTGCTTTTAAAAGGTTAACTATCAAAAAAGAAGAAAATGGCATGTGCTTTTAGGGTACTAACAGCTGCACAATTTGATTTTCTAAATTGTGAGTTCTATCTGATGATGTTGATTTTGTGTCAAATGAATGGTGGGGATGATGCTCCATTTCATTTGAACTGTTAATGGTTGTGTAACTTTGATTTTTCTGTTCGATTAAAAGGGCTAGTACATACTCTTTTTTGAATTGTAAGGCTAGTACATTCTGCTGCATTCATTTCCCTTTGCATCATTATTGGAAAATGTATTAGAAAAATTTCTTCTAGGAATTGCAACATTGTGGTATGCTTAGAACTGTTTGTTTCTTTTTTCTTGCTTCAATGTGTTGATGTTATATATCTGTTTTCTGAGCAGAAAGATGATAAGCTCTACATTTACCTTGAGTATGTTTCTGGTGGTTCTATTCATAAACTTCTTCAAGAGTATGGCCAGTTTGGGGAACCTGTGATCCGCAGCTATACTCAACAAATCCTTTCAGGCTTGGCATATTTGCACAATAAAAATACTGTCCATAGGTGAATATACTTATGGTATCATCATCAATACTAAATATGTATTATTTGTTGATGCAGAGCTTTCTGTGTTCTTGTTATGTGCTGCGTCCTTTAAGTTTTCATTAGTTACTTTTAATTTTGTATCATTGAGCTATATTTTCTCTGCAGGGACATTAAAGGGGCAAATATACTTGTGGATCCTAATGGTCGTGTGAAGCTGGCAGATTTTGGGATGGCAAAACATGTATGATGTTTCAAATGATATTTTCATATGGTGTCTATATACCCTAATATTCATGGCATTATCTGCATAGATGATTATTGCTTTCTCAAGAGAATTTGCTCATTGAAGTTTATGAAGCGTCTTTTGGTTTTGGTTCATCATGATTTGCTTATAGAAGTTTCTTTGGACTCTTGCTTGATTTATAAGTGGTTCCGGATTGTAATTTTTAACCAAGCATATTGCTCAGCTCATCATCAAATTTATATCTCTAAACTTGTGAAGTATATGTTCTTCCCTGGAAAGGTGTTGCATTAAACTCCTTTGTTTCCCTTGTCAGTTCAGGGACAGGAATAATGAATTAAAAGTTTGCCAAAAAATTCCTTTTTCTCACATTGTTGCCTGTGTAATAAATCTTCCTCCACAGAGGAGCTAGAGGGATTTTTCGCAATCCATGGACCTGTAGATCATCTAATTTCTTGTTTCCTTGATGGGATCCAGCTTTACACTACGCACGACAAATAGCTTTTGGTCAATCTGGCAGCAGGGGCGTGGCTTATATTAATTGACCTGGTCCCACTAAAGGGCCTGTGAAAATGAAAATCATGGGAAGGGGAAACCTAGTGATAGTGAGGGTTGCGTTTAATGTAAGAAGTTGAGGGGTATTTAAGTTGAGAGTGTTAGATGGGGGGCTGAGGTAGGGGATTTATCCATTCTAGTGCTCCTCGTGGACCTCCTTCCTTATTCATCAATTTAAGTACTTCAAGAAAAAAATGCATGTTTGGTCATGTCAGGTGATTGATGTCTGTCTTTTCCCTTAATTTGAAAGTGAGCTTTGGTTGTGGGGGTTTTTTATATGTGAGCTTTGGTTGTGGAGGGGTTCTGTATGTGACTGAATATCAGCATGAGAGACATATATCTTGGGCTAGCATTTGTTATGGGTTTTATTAAGCTTTAGATTTTCAACATATTAGCGATACACTTAAATACAGTCATGGTCACTTAGGAAGGGTCAGGGTAGGAAGTAGGTAATTGTTCGAAATCAAGTTATGTTACCATGCGCCAGCATATCAAGTTTATAATCCAAACCTGAGATATTGGTATTGATGCTAGTGGTTCATTGATAAGTTGTCAGGGTCATAGTAATTAGTTCTAAATATGCAGGTTGACCTGATTGTCTCAAATGTCTCTAAAGCTTGGAAGCCTTTGGCATACATGTGAGCATGTGTCTGCGCATAACTTGGTCTTCCATTAAATTTTCTTTCCACTACCCCATCTACAAAATATTTTATTTGATGCCATCATAGATATTGGATTTATCAAAAACAAGAGAAGAACTTCCACTATTCCCAGGGGAGAATACCTTTTTGTTACTGTCTTTGTTCTCTGAAGGTTGCTGAAACAACCGTATCTCTACAAAAGAGAAGGGGGAAATTACATCCCTCTTACCAAAATTAGGTGACCTTCAAGAAACCTGCAGCCCTTTCTATGCTATCGTACAAAACCCCTTCTCTTTTACTTTTTCTCCACCCACAGACCTGGCTTTAATTTTCTAGGACCAAATCTTCCAACATACCTAATCTAAACTCTCTACTCTCTCTCTCTCTCTCTCTCTCTCTCTCTCTCTCCTCTGTGTGTGTGTGTGGATTTTGGCTCTCGTGGTTTTGGATTATTAGATTATAGTTTCTCAATTCATAGCTTTTAAGATTTTGGGGTTTACAGATTAGGTTTTTGATAATAATTCAGGATTATTATATGATAGTTTCTCAAATCATAGCTTTTAAGATTTCGGGGTTTACAGATTAGGTTTTTGATAATTTCTATGAGAAAATAATTGTCCTTGCTTTTGCTTTTCTTGTTCGCAAAATTTACAACTGTAAGGGATCATTAGTTTTTCTCTGGAACCTTTCGGGCAGGCAATCTTCTACAGTTTCAAATTACCGATAAATAGGCATGCGTTACTCCTGAGTTTTAATGGAAACTCTGAAGATATGTTGAAGAAAAGCAGCTGGGTCTGGTTTTCTATTGCGGTTTTACATTTTAGGGTTTATTATATATTTTGTAGCAGAAATGATTCCCCCTTTTCTCTTTAAGAAACTTTAATGAGTGTTGATCTTTTCATTTTCTGTGAAATACTCAATTAAGTTTTTTGGGTTTTGATCTCTCATTGGGGGGCAATCTTCTATCCTGAAGTCTCTCTGAGATGAAGTGTTGATGCAATGTTAATAACAAGGTGGCCTGGCCTATTGATCTCTTCTTAACTGTTACTCTTGTCTCTTCAGGTGATTTTGAATTCTCCTGTTCCCATTGTGGGTGATGATGGTTTTCAGAGCATCACCACCACTTTGCAATAGGAAAAGACTGAGTGACTTCCTTGTGGCCTTGGCCTATTTCTTGATCTCCCACTTGCTCTCTCACTTAATGATATGTTTAACTGGGTTTCTTTTTTGATGGGTGAAAGTGAGATAAAGGTTTCCTAGGAGGAAGACCAAGAAACTAGATAGGGAAATGGGAAGGAATAGAAAGAAAACGGAATCGCGTTGGCATGTTTGTATGCTTATGTGATCAGAAAATCGTGCAATTGCCACACCATTATATCCCACTTTGGTTGAGCTGTCAAAGTTATTGATACCAATACGTGAATCGATAGTGGTCTAAATAACAGGGAGATGGGGTGTGAAGGTTTTGGGATCTGATTCAGTTCTTGGATCAGCTAGCAATTGTGAGTTCATTTGGACTGGTTCAGTTGCAGACATTACAATGCCGATGCATAGGGCCTCAAACTTCAAAGGGGGAACACCAGAAATGATTGATGCTTGGCATGCTATTCTTGTTTTGGTTCTTCCTGGTGAACCATGATAGTCAAAATAGTGAGACTAATGGAACTTTCCGTCTTCAAATGTAGAATAGCATGAAGGAAGGGCAGGAAAAAGAATATATAAAGATGTGAGGGTTGATATTGAGTGATACAGAAAATATTTGATGGGAGTTTTTTTGTCAGGGGTAATTTTTCTCCAGGAAATAAAAATAGAGCTTGTGAGAAGTTTGTCGAGAAGAAAAGGGTAAGGATTTGTTTGCAACTGATATAAGGCTGGGGTTTCTCGAAATGCAGCCTATGTTGAGCGGTTGAGTTGTAAATCCCACCCCCCCCTAAGAAAAAATAAAAAGGAAAAAAAGAAGAAATTTATTTTCTTTATTCCCCAAAAGGGAACTTCTTTGATATGACCATGTTCTTTCCATATTTTCAGGATCGTTTAGGCAGTTTACTTCTTTTATATGAATATTAGTATGTCCAAACAGAGACTTAGTCTTTTGCCGATCACCGCAATGGGAACAAGTTTTTGTATTGTACTTACCAGACATTCTTATGTAAAGTTTAATTTAAGATCATTCCTTCCACTTCTGAGTTTTCAAATCACGTTTTGGTTTTCCTATGTGTCATGGATCCTTCGACCTCTTCAATTTTTGTTGGAACTATGTTTTGGGGCATACCATAATTTGTGGTCTATTTTCTTATTGCAGATTACTGGATATTCATGTCCTTTGTCATTCAAGGGAAGCCCATACTGGATGGCGCCTGAGGTTATAAACTTGTTCAAAAAGATTTTCCATTTACATTTTCCCTGTGACTAGGTGTGGCTTCTTATATGCATTACTGTTTCAGGTCATAAGAAATGCAAATGGATGTAACCTTGCTGTTGATATATGGAGTCTTGGATGTACTGTTTTGGAGATGGCTACAACAAAACCACCCTGGAACCAGTATGAAGGGGTCAGTGATTAGGTTTTGGAACTTGCATCTTAATTTCATGCCTGATCATATATCTAGTAGGTTGTTTCTCTTGATCTTGAGAGTCTTAATTATAGTTGGAGAAACTATAACCCAGTATGAAAAGATTGTGGGCCACTGGGTCATTGCTGTCCGTTGAAGTGATAGATGGTGATGAATAGAGTGGGACCAACATTGTGATCATTTATTTTTCTGGTGGGTCCTTCTCTCTGTGCCCAACTTCCATCCCTTCAATGGACACCCATTCTAAATATCTCGTCTTTTGAATGTAGATAAGTTAAAAATGCTTCAAGAATATGTACTTTCTTCTCTACCTCATGTTAATTATAAGTTCAATGTGGAATTTATTTGATCTGTTTCTTTTGGTTATGTTTTTATTGCTCGCTGTACTAATATCAAAGATGCTTTTGACCTCTAGGTTGCCGCTATGTTTAAGATCGGTAACAGTAAGGAAATTCCAACCATACCCGATTTGCTCTCAGAGGAGGGCAAGGATTTTGTAAGGTGTTGTTTACAACGAAATCCTGCAGATCGTCCCACTGCTGCCCAGCTTCTTGAGCACCCATTTGTAAAAAATGCTGCTCCTTTGGCTAAACCCACTGTCAACCACGACCCTTCAGATCCAGCTAGTGGTGTCCCGAATGGAATGAGATCCCCGGTAAGAAGTACAAATTTTTTCTCCAAAGGGAAAGTATAGCATACTTATCCTGTTTACTGTGTATGATACACAGCTCGTATCCTCCATCTTCTCAAGATGGTTGCTGGAGACTAACTATAGTTCCTGTTGAGTGTCCATTGTTTGTACTCTGATTCATCTCAAGCAACCATCCTGAAAATGGATGGTTGATTACTTGCTATGTTTATACCATTCATAGGATGTAATTGTACAGGTTCCTTTTTTCTTAGGCTTCCATGTAATTTTTGTTTGTTTCTATAATCGTGTATAAGTTTTATTACTTGATTTCCTTTATTGCAATTTTGATATACAAAATGTTCATCTGCGTGAAATGGCTACATGAAACTTTGCTTCCCAGCTTCAACGTTTCTTTCATTGAGGAATGTTAAGGATTTCATGGTTTGCCTGTGTAATGCACTTCCCATGAGGCACAGAAACAATGTTGAATTGGGCCCTCCTCATGGTTTTCCGTATACACAGTTCAGAATTTGATAGCACCTAGCAATAGATTACGCTTTCCTATATGAGTGTTTGGTTTTTTGTTCTATATGGAATTTCTGTGCGTGTGTTTCTACATATATAGGTAATACTTTCCTCTATAACTCTTCCGTTGCCGACTTGGCATTGGGCTCATAAAATCTCCCTCCCTCTAAAAGAAAACCAGGTTCACCTCTCCTCTTCTCTCCTTCCCTTTTGTCTCTCCTACCAGGTCCTGCTCCCCTTTGTCTCTTTCACCCACTCTAGCCCCCTTAATTCTGTACCTGCCAGGAGGGGCTTGGGCTGGCAGGAGAGATGGATAGAGAGACAGGAAAACTTGTTTTTGGTGTGCGGATAAAGCGAGCAACGAGTGATGGGAGAGACAAAGGGATAGAGAAAGAGGCAAACTTTTCTTGTTGGTGTTTCCTTCTTTTGTTTTCTTTTTTTGTTTTTCTTCTTGTAGTTGTTGTTTGGCGGAGGGGGGAGATAGAGGGAGCCAAGACCGTGAGCACAGCTGCATGAGAATTGGGTTACCTTGTAGCCTTGCTACCCCTTCCCATCCAATCACTTGTGTCTGTGTACCCACTTGCTGCGAGTATCATGTTGTTGGGTTCATTGTGTATCTAACATGCTTGAAATGCCTGATTGTTTTTTTCTTGGGTAATTTGAATACCTGATTTGTTTCAAACACTATTTAGATTGAATACCTGAGCCGGAGTTCTGGTTTTTAACCACTGTTTGTTCATACATACTGTATGTATGTGATAATGAAACAATTCTTACCTTCAGCTCATTGAAACAAAATATGTTATTGAACTTATCCTTAATGTTCTGCGCAGGGTGTTGGGCATGCAAGAAACCTTTCCTCATTGGACATGGAAGGCATGGTCATCCAGCAGCCTAGAGGGGCAAAACCTTATCAACAATCCAGGTTGGTCACATCCTTTATGTTCATCTCTATTTTTTCTGCTAATAATTTTCCTCTTTTCAGAAGCTGCCTTTGTCGGAAGGAATAAAAGCGTGAAACAAATTCTTAAATGAAAAGAACAAGTGGATAACTGAGTCTGAATTAATTAATTACCACTCAAAAAGGATAAATTAATTAACCGTGTATGGTTTTATTCCCAAAAAAACAAAAAATAACCATATATGTTTTTTGTTCTTTTCAGACAATCATTTTAAATAAGTATGCAATGTATCTCATTTAAACAATGCATGTCTAATGAATTGATCTTAAGTACAATTTATGCTCACCTTTTATACACCATTTTGGCTTAGTGGAAGGGAGAGTTGTGTCTTAACCATTAGGTATTTGGTTTGTACGTTTACCTCAATAGTTATGTGCTTTTTGTTGTTGTTGTATTCTTGAGAGAGAGAGAGAGAGAGAGAGAGAGAGAGAGAGTGACTTACTTACCTTCCTTACTTACTTTACTTTAGTTCGACGTAGTACGAAACCAAACCTAAAGTCGTACCGTAACGTAAATTAGTTACTACTAACTTACCGT